TTACCCAACCCTTGAGTTGTTTTGTTTTTCATTTACCCAACCTTTTACTTACTCAAAATTTAGTTTACCCAACCTTTTTCTCTTCGGTGCCACCCCCCACCATAAATAATGACCCGTCCCTTATTACAAATGTTCATCTTGCTTCCGCTACATTGCGTCACAGATTATAAATTGTACCAGATGCCTCCCTCTGTATATGGTGATTGCTAGATAGTATACTTCAAAATAAGGTTTCCGTTTTTATAACGTAGAAAAAACTATCCTAACGCAAAACTAAATCCAAACCCTAATACTAAACCTAACCCCAACCTAACCCTAACCTAAACCCTAGCCTAACCCTAACTTATTTTAAAAATAGAATAAAAACGGAAATCTTATTTTGAAGTATACTATCTAGCAATTGCCCTCTGTATATGGCCTATGATTTTCGTGTCCGCGATTTTCGCGAGGCCGCTGATCACGACTACACGCCATGCTGAGTTGCTGACGCGTGCGACACGTACTGCCAAAATGGCGGCGAAAACTTCGCGTCAGAAGTACATTTCCAATTGCCAATGACGGGCAATGTGAATTCGATATTATGATCTTGCATTACTAAATAGTAATTTCATCACTTCATTCGTGTAAATTCTCGGACACTATTTTTGCTACAACTTATAATATGTGATTGCGTGGTTGCTTTTGCGTGCTTTGAGATTCTGCGCGCCCTCGTAAGCTAAAGTACACGCCTGGCATATCGCAGCATAAATTAATGCTGCTCTTTTCGCTCTTCATATACAAGCTTTCTAAAAACATTCTCTGGTCGAAATTTGATGTGAATTCCAAGCAGGTAACTCCTTCCCAGTCCATTTGGTGTTTGGTAGAGGAAACCGAAACGTTAGACAAACACATTATCTCTTTATGCGATAGCCTGCGTGGCAGGCCCTCAATTTTATGGGGGACTGATTTGCAGCAGGCACGGGGCAAATCCTGCCCGCTGCAAGCCCGCTGCAAATCAGGCCCCCCATAAAATTGAGGGCCTGCCACGCAGGCTATTTGTGCGACAGAGATGAAATAATGAGACAACTCGTTGCCTTTCGCGGAAATCGAAACCAAGACGCAAATAATTTATTTAAATGAAATACGACCAGTTTTGTTTAACTTTCTCAACATTCTTAAAATTGTGTACTAAACATTGTGTTTATAAGCAGAACGTCAAAGCATTTCAATTAGTCCCCGAGAAACGACATCGAATGATATGTGAAAACTTCGGAATGACTGCTAAGTTCAGTCATGATCACTATTGATCTCGTTCGCGTCATTGACGTCATTCCTGTCAATGCCTTTGCCCAATTATAAGGATTGTAATTTGATACTGGCAACAAGGGTTTACCAAGAATTCGTCTTCTAAGAACTAATACTTAAAGTTCGGTCATGTGATTATAAAACAACAAAACCTCTCTGTAGGGTCACGTTTCACGTCATTGCCGAAGCTCAGACTAACTCGACGTGTCAAATGTCTAAAATGGTTCCTTTCTGAAATGTATCTCGTTTAAAATGGCTCGTGCCTTAGCGACTGACCCGATCAATGAACTTGAAGAAAATCTACAATGTAATGTATGTCTGGAAGTACTAACAGACCCCAGAACCCTTCCTTGCTTTCATTCGTTCTGTAAAGATTGTTTGGAAGGCGTTGTGGAAACATTGCGTGGCAAAGCACCTCGCGGTCGACCTATTCGAGAGTTTCCATGTCCAAATTGTCGTGCGACGTTTATACTTGATCCCGACAAACATGTCGCTGACATGCCACGGAACCATTTCATCTGTAACATGGTAAAAGCGACGGCCGTACTCGATCGTGGAATCGGCGTTCCTTGTTCACATAATTGTAGTCAAAGTTACTCGGTCGCTCGTTGCGTCACCTGTGAAAAGTTCCTATGCCGAGAATGTCTAACAGACCATAATAAATATCGAGGTCACAATCACCATTCTGTTCTAACGATGGAAGAGTTATCAAAGCCAGAAAATCGCAAGAAAATCAACGACAAAATGTATTGCAGTGAACATACGGGCATGACATTAAAAGTTTATTGCGAAACCTGCGACCAATTGATTTGTAAGGATTGTATGGATTTTAAACACGTCAAGCAAAGTCATTCGTGTTTTCTGGTCAAGGATGTTGCGAGTAACTATAAAGAACTTCTTGCTTCAAATAACAAAGCAATGGAAGACGCTTTAACTGAAGGCAATGCATTTATTGGACGAATAACTCTTAAGACAGAACGACTTGATCGCGATGCTGAAAATATCAAAACTGAAATTGCACAAAGAAAAGAATTCGTGAAAAAGAAAGTCGTTTACTCTGTCGTTGACATGTTGGATCAAAAAGCTGAAACTCTTCTAAAGAAAGTAGATGAAATTCACAAAGGCAAACGAGCGAATTTGGACAGACAGGCGGAAGAAACAAAGTTATACGTAGAGAACATAAAAACGTCTGTTCAACTTTCGAAAAAGTTGGTCGACCAAGGCTCAGAAGAAGAAATAATTTCCTCTCAGAAAATGATGCTGGATAACGCAAATAATCTCCTAACAAATCGCGAAGAGTATTTCAAAGCACCTATACCCGATGCAAACTTGAGCTACACTTCGTCTACTGGCAAAGAACCAATAGACGAAGAGATCTTAAGCGGGCTGGCAAACAGTTTAGGAGAAGTCAGTGAAGGGAAAAAAGACACAGGTAAGAACCGGTACATTATATGGAGGGCAGGGGGGACTGGTGACCGAAAAAGGAGTCGCACCCCTCTCCCCTCTTAATAGTTACGTCCTTGGACAGGAAACACAGCAGGAGGAAAATGTGTTTCTCTGAGTTGGTTTTTATCCAAGCAAGTGGGCAAATTAATGAATTCGCCTTCTGAAACATCGAGCGTCTCTGAATCCCTAACATACTGTGTCATTACCCCAGTAAACAGTGTTATATATCGTTAGATATTTTTTCTGTTTGGTTGAAATTGTAATTTTCAACTAGTGACCCTCCTGAATTTTTATTTGTGCATTAAGACGTCAAACACGTATCAGTTACGACAATGCACCTAAACGTAACGTGACAAGAGAAGGTATGTATTTGTCTTGTTTACGTTTTAATTTTTGCTCTTTACGTTCGCCATCATATCAAGTTGTATAGAGTTTCGATATATTTCGACAATCGCTGAAGGCCGCTGATTTGCATACAGCACACAAAAGAGAACATACATGCAGATTCTCATCAAGTATTTTATGCGTGTTCTCATTCAATTCAAGGTTTAGTCCATGTTACACAAGACAAAGTTTTGGTGCAGTTTACGTCTGGCGTAGAGTTATGTTATACGGCAAAACGTGTTCGCGGAAAAATTGAGAACTTGCCGGCCCTGCGTTTCACTTTGCCGAACTTTTCATCACCTGACATACAACACATGCATAAATAAGTGAAAGAGAATGACAAATATTAGGAAATGAAATGCATCACAGATTTTTTGTTAATA